CTAAGTATCTTATTAGCTATATCTACCACCTTATATAGCTAGGGCGCAAATCCTTGCAAATTAAGGTTAAGTATATACTAGATAATTGTTTGCTTCTCTAGTAAAGTAGGTTTCTAGCAGTTAGTGTGTATGTCTAGTAAAAACGTAATATTGCAAAGGCAATTTAATACCTACTAATAAGGTATGTTCAACTCTCTAGCCGCGCTATAGATACTACAAAATTAGCTAGTATAGAAGGCCTAGATAGTAAGGATAACTCTACCTTCTCTAGTAGTATTCTAAAGTTGTTGTTGTTAAGGCATGTTGTGTTAGGGTAAAAGGTAGTTGTGCCAAGAGAAAGTGGCCGGTTTGGTGATATGGCCGGCTTGGTGATAATCTACGTTACAGCAAGAGGGGACTCTAATCTTTGCTGAGGGAGTGCAGCTAACTACTCTAAAGGAGTTTGAGGCCTGTAGTGATGGGAAGAAGGCAAAGAAGAGGTTGCGTGTTGATAGGAGCACTCAGTCTTCTAGACGCTGTGGCACATGTAGCGAGACAGGACACAACGCGCGAACATGCAGTAAAGATGCGCAGAGTAACGTACCCCACGGGCGAGTCGGACACACGGGCGAGTCAGATACTTTTGCCAAGACCCTACCAAAACACCCTTACTACACCAATGCCTCTCCACAAACCCCAGTCAGACGCGTTAAAAGAAGCTCAGATACAGCTTGCGCTTCAAGCTCTTAAGCAAGACGCGACTCTCTCTCTACAGCGCGCTGCAGCTATCTATAGAGCTCCCCTACAGACACTAAGCGACTAACGCGCTAGACAACCTTTACAAGTTAATTCTATGCCTAAATTACAGAGCCTAACTAATACTAAGGAGCAGGTGATTATTAATTATATACTTGAGCTAGACGCGCAAGGATTTTCCCCTTGGCTAGCAGCTGTGGCTGATATGGCTAATTCTTTGCGCGCTAAGCGCAGTCTAGGCCATATTAGCCTAAACTAGCCTAGTACATTTGTTAAGTGCTAACTAGAGCATAAAGTAAAGTTTAATTGCAACTATAACTACAAGAGAGCCCTCTGCAAAGATCCTAAGATAATTTAGGGCTAGTTTAGCCTAGTAGCTAATATTAAAGCTAAGTATAGCATCTAGGATAAGAACATGTACAACTTCAATAAGACAGGCTTTATAATAGGCTAGATATCCAATAGAACAGTTGTTACAGCCTTAGAAAGACAAGGACAACTAAAGCAGGTCTAGCTAGGTGTAACGACGCAGGCAAGAAGAGAGATATCTCGAATAGGTGTGAATCCGCTACGAGGCATATAGGAGTGCTAGGATGATAAGAACACTAGGATATATACTCTACACCTATAGGTCTTGTACAAAAAGATATAGAAAAGCTACTCTATATTGCTACAGTTCCTTGCTCCTTATATATAAAGGTTTAATAGCAGTTTGGTGTAAGCTTATGCTATGCAACAAGGGCCATGGTCATGAGTTGCTAGAACTGTATCCTAGTGGTATCGGGTCACTGTTCGTAGAGCGTTGTTACACTAGGCAATTAGGAGTAGACAACAGTTATTAAGGGCATTAATACTAAAGGGTAGGCTATTCTACCCTTTACTATCTTCTAGGGCTACAACTACCTCTTAAACTAGTACAAAGAGGATAATCTTGTAAAGTTATAAGACTTTGTTCTTATAATCTTTCTCTAGCGTATTTCCTTCTTAGGTATAGCACTATGCTTACCTAAGCATTGTTATTGTAATCTCTAAGAAGAGAGGATTAGAATGGTGTGATTACAAAGCCTGTATCTCCTCTTGTTCTTAAGATATGCTATTCTCTATTTTTAGTAACTAGAAATGTTCTAGACCCTCTGCTTACAAATAGAGTAGCCTACTCTGTAAGATGCTGACGTATACAATTACGCATACACCTATGTAATCTTGCTTGCATACGCAGCAATACTAAGCATAGATTACAAAGTAGACCTACCTAGAGGAGTCTAGAACGTTCTGCTTAGAAATACAGACAGAGGAGAGGAAGCATAAATACCTCTAGCTCTCCCCCCTCTGTTCGCTCTGTACCTAGCCTAGGAATCTCTACCTAGTGTAGTAGTCTAGCCAAAGGCTAATAAAGGATATCTACTTCCTAACAACTTTTGCTAAAAGCATGCACAAGTTAACTAGACGCCTAGTTACATCGGGAAAAGTTTTTCGAAATCCGGCCTAGACCGGCCGTTGCTGACAGTCGTGGCATGGTCGTGCAACGGCCGTTCAACGGCCCCAACAGCCCCAATTTGCGCCCAACGGCCCCAATTTCGCGCCAACGTTGCTAACAGCCAAAACACTGAGTGCCCATATTCAACAAACTCAAAACAACGTTGCAACGTCGTTGCATGGCTACCCTTAGTGCTAGCACTAGCATTAAATATTCAAAAATTGCGAAATTTCACGTACAGATAGAGCGAAATTGTAGCTTCAAAATGAGCAAAAAATTTTGTTGTAGGCCTACTACAACGCGAGTTATAGAGCGTTGAAGGTTTGTTTGTTGAAGGTTTGTGTTTTGAAGTTGCGACAGCACATCATGGCAGCTGCAGCTGCGCCCGCACACAACATAGCAGCTGCAACAGCATGCAGCATAGCACCTGCTGACCAACACACACACACATACACACACACAGCGGCAGCGCAACAGGAGCTTGCAGAACAGGCAGGCCCAGGCGTAAAATTCTTGGTTTACCTACTATTCTTAAATAATATTCTTATATTTTCTAACATTCAGGCTGCTAGAGCCCTAGCGAAGAATCTTAACTTAGTGTCTTGGCAAGGAACATTAAGCTTAAAACCTTCTACGCTTAATAACTATTCTATTACTAGGCCTATAATGTTGTTTAATAGCTTATTTTAAAGAGGAGACTTAGTAGTATATTAATATAATAAAAGTATAGTTTATTAAGCAGAGCTACTATTGTAGCAGGATTAGGAGTTGTTGTGGCCATTGCAGCCGTTAGGACCATTAGAGCTGTTGGCTCAAAATTGGCTAGACATTGAATGCACATTGAATGGCTGTTGTAGGCCTACAAGTCCTACTGTTGCCCACAGTACAATGCCACGATTTCCCGATTTCGACAACGGAAAAACTTTTCCCGATGTAACTGCGTAGATAATATATATCCAGCTTAAGCCAAGCCGGCTAAGCTAATGTAACCGGCTAGCTCTAGCTCTTCTTTAGCTTTAGAGTGTAGACCTTTACACCTAGTATCTAATATAATAACTTGTCTATTATATTACATAACCCTACCTTACCTCTATTAGGCTATACGCTTCCTATTTAGACAAAGCTAGTCTAGATTTGTCTAGGTCCTTCTAGACTAGGAAGAAAGTAGTCTAGTCCTTCCCCTACTATCTTTACATATATAAGCTAATTTTAACTGTAAGAAGTTAAAGTAGAGCTTGTATTTGCTGTATAAACTAGCAATTAGCGTCTCTATCTGCTAAGTAGTGGGAGACAAGGTGGATTAAATAGTTGTTAATAAAGTGCGTAACCTAGCTCTTACTAACTAGCTCTAAGGCTACTAATGACGCGAAACTCTGTATTATTTTGCGTGTAAGAGGTATATGACTAGCAGTAAGCTCTTGTATATACTTTACAAGCTCCTTCTCTTGTTGTTAGGTGAGCTTCTGTTAGTTAATAGTCTTAGTGTTGTGGGGTACTTAAAGATGCTTGTGCTTTTAGCTCAACGTTAAACAATTAACACTAAACCTCTCTGCTATTTTAGTGTAAGAGAACTCTTCTCTTGGCTTTAGCGCATTAATTGCGGCAACTGCTGACTTGATTGAACTCATGGTTGCTAAGTTATCGCGCGTACAAAAAGTGGTACGTTGGTGTTGGCAGGGCATCACGCGAATCCGGGCATCACGAGCACAGACACCGTATATGCTTCGTTTGAAGCAGTTTGGGTAACGCGGCGTGGAGCCATTACGCGTCAAAGTCAGAAAGATGAGAAAGTTGGTGGGGCTGGCGAATCGCTTGTACCGGTACTGGCGACTCGCTTGTAAACTACGTTATGGTAGCATAACGCTTTCCGATCTGGATCACGAGCTCCATCTTATCAGTTGCGATGACTTAAAGCTCGATGATGAACTCTTGAGGGACGCGATGATCCCAATGCATCGCGTTCTCGCACAGATCTCCAGCACAAGGTCAAACATGTACACCGCGTCTTGATCTGCGATCGCGTTGATCCAGCCCTTCGCCTCTTCGACCTCGTCTCGCGAGAAAGTGACCTTCTTTCGGCCGTCCTTGAGCTCAACCTCCCAGCCACTTACACTAACAGCTAAGTTGAAAAGAGCGTCGTGAGCTCGTCGCTGAGCATAAAGATGTACGGATGCGTTGGCGACAGCTTTCTCAATAAATGCCCCAAAAGACCGATGTGTACTGCTGGAGCCTGACCTCATTTGCCCAAATCTCGATGATGAACTGCTCCTTAGCTTCCTTCAACTCAGTCTGCCACCTCTTTCTGCAAGGCCGGCCTCAAGCTCGGCGATCTTGCGGTTCTTGTCATCTGCGGGAGGCTTGGCTGTATCGGATGCGGGCTGTCCGGTCTTTCTCTCGTCCGGCATATTGGTCGATGTGTAGGACGTGACGATTACATGAGCGGTAGGCCAAGGATGAGGAAAGTTGCGTGGTGAAGAGGAACAAGCCACAACGTATCCAACGGAGCTCTTATATACAGCGCAAGACAGGCCATCCTGTGGATACAGGTGAAGGTAGATGGAAGTCGAAGGTAAAGGTGGAAGCAGCGCAAATAGTGCAGGACTCGGAGACATTTCTGTGGCGGCAGCCTCTTCCTACAGTTCGGTGCAGCAACTGACTGATGGTCGCATTGACATGCAAGGAACTGTTTGCGACAGTGCAGCCGCGGTAGTCTGGCTGTCACCCGGACCGAGCGTGACATCTCGATCCATACGAATGCTGAAGACACACAAAGACTGCTTCAGTGATGGTTGAAACGATTGTTGATGATCTTCACTATGATGAATTGCTCTTAAGGTCTGATGCTACATCAGCAATGTAAGGGACGAATGATCTGCACAGACTCAGACCAGCCACCGCTGCAGCATGTCCTGATCAACATCCCTCACCAAGACATGCAGGTGCTCGAGACTCCGGACGCTTTGCAAGTTTGTCGTGTTCTTGAACCAGAGAATCTTGCTGTCTCTCTCCTTCTCTCCACCCTTAGTCCGGAACTCTTTCTCGACAAACTCCTCGACCATTCTCCTCCCCTCATCCGACAGAGCACCTTGCTCGTCAACAGGCAAACGCTGCTTCAACCAGACACAAACATGACGAATGCCCTCCTCGTGTCCATACGGCCAGTCGTTTCTGAGGATAGTAAAATCCTCCGGATCAGCAAACGGCACAACGTTCTTCACGTTGAACGCCATTGCTCCTGATGGACCATCGACAGGCTCCCAATCCAGCCGCTGCATAAGCAGATACGTAGTCGCGCTCCCATACTTGCTCTTCACATGCGCCGTCCAGGCTAGATACGCCTTCAATTGACTAGGCCACCTCTTGAGCTCATCCAGCTGGCGCCTCTTAATCAGGTGCTGCAGATTTTTCCACGAGTGCGGCGTGTACTCGTCATCCGTAAGACCGAGTTGCTGCCAGTCGATCGCAGTGAGTGCGAATGGCGGATTGTCGTGCGGGAACGGCAGTGCAGAAGGATCGGGGTTGCATTTCCACTTGGCCTGAAATACGGCGGGTAAAGATGATTCGTCGACGGGAATATGTGGCGCCATGCTACGCTGGGTGTGGTGTGAAACAGTTCAGATTGGACGGCGGGGCTGAGATGGGGCAAGGGGTCCGTGGAGGCGGCCCGTCATCAAGCTGCATCAAGCGTGCTTAACCTCTTCGTTTCGAAACACAGGTTCCACCGACTTCGTGACAACGAAGTTGTTAATCTGCTGCAGGTACGATCTCATGCGAAGCGAATCCGAGCAGAGATGTCAGTGGAGCGTTCGCCAGCCCCCGTTGAAGCCGTCTTGGTCACAGCACACCCCTCTATCGTCCGGTCCAATCCCCAATTTCTCCGTCAATTGTAACTTGCCAAGTCTTATCATGCTTGGCAAAGTATCCACTTTCCTTCCCTCTCCATGCGACTTCGTTCAGAAACAAGCGCATCGCCGGTGGCGGAAATTTGAACTGGTGGCAGGAAGGGCGATCCCGACTACTTGTAAGGATGCAAGCGCAAGGCTAAATCAATAATCGGCACAATTGCAGCAGAACTCGTCCGATGGTGAAGGAATCCTGGAGACCAGCGTGGAGAGTATATAACCGCGTCCACGACCCTGCCATCAAGCCTCGATATCCTCTCCAGGTCTTGTTGTGTCTGCTATAGTCTCCCTGTCTATAGTTCCGCTCGTTTCAAGATGCGTTTCTCCGATCTCAGCCTGGCCGTTCTCTCGTGCGCGAGCACTACACTCGCTGCGAGGAACCAGACCAAGCCCTCCGCCTATGGCCAGTGGATGGCTACATCGTTCTTGTCCAAGAACCAGGTCATTCGCCACACCTACGTCCCGGCTGTCACACTCGAGGGTATCCAGAAAGTCGCTGCCGTAAACAGCAACGAGGACCTGCTTGAGTACGCCCGCAGCTCCGTCTCCTCTCTCGTTTCATCCAACGGCACCGTCACCGGCTACAACGATACATACTACACCCTAGACGATATCCGCATGGGTAACAACATCCTGCACTGGTGGAACGAAGGCGGCCGCAACGAGTCCAAGTACGAGATCGCCGCGCACCGCTACAGGGACCAGTTGAACCGGTGGCCGCGCACCCCCACGGGCGGCTTCTGGCACCGCGCCCCGACTTACGCAGACCAGATGTGGCTCGACGGCATCTACATGGCCGATACCTTCTACGCAACGTACACAAGCTACTTTGACAACGACAACATCACCGCCTGGCAGGATATCGAACTCCAGTTCGACCTGATCGAGGAGCACACACGCAACCACACAATCAACCTTCTCTATCACGGCTACGACGAGCTGAAGAAGGCGGTCTGGGCGAACGCCGAGACGGGTGCGTCGCCGTACGTCTGGAACCGCGCGGTAGGATGGTACTTCGTCGCGCTCGTCGAGGTGCTGCAAGTGTACCCCAAGGAGCTCCCTGGGTACGCCAAGCTGTCCTCATACCTGAGCACGCTGGCATCGGGCGTCAAGGACGCTCAGGACGCCGAGGGCGGGTGGTGGTTGCTCATGGATCCGGAGCTCGCGGGCAAGGCCGGGAACTACATCGAGTCGTCTGCGACTGCCATGTTCACGTACGCGTACTTCAAGGGTGTCAGGACGGGGCTGCTGGACGCTGAGTTTCTGCCTGTGGCCCACAAGGCGTACGATCTTATGATCAACGATTTCATTGTTTACGAGACGAACGGTACGTTGAGTTGGAACGGTACAGTGGAGGTTGGCAGCTTGAAGGGCGATGCGAGCTACGAGTACTATACCACTGTTCCTCTGAGTTTGAACGATGGCAAGGGTGCTGGGCCGTTCATGTACGCTGCGTCGGAGTTCAATCTTGCGCTGGAGAACAAGACGGAGGTTGCTCACCTCGAGTAGAGGATCGCGGATGGTTAGAGTCAGAATAGACACTCTAGACGCCATATATACCCTGTACATATTGGCTGAGTTGTATAATTGTAATTGTTTGGTAACGCCATCGCTGTTTCAGATGTATTAAATACAAACTATGCCCTTTGGGAAGCAGTTGAAATGTCCATCTCGCATCGACATGCGAATTCGAAAAAGAAGTCTATCATAATTACTCAACGCTATGATCTGTGCAATGCGAGCGAGATATGTACAGCTCACAGCAAAAGAAAACGAAGGACTCTCCTATCTTACAGGAGCAGTCCTCGGTGCCGTCACCCCTTTGCGTTCCACATCTTGTACCTTCTGCCTGACCTCTTCACACGCTGCGTTAACATCCAACTCTTTTTTACTCGCTTCAAAAGCGCCCTGGAAGAGAGCGAGAAGATATACGCCATACATGACATACCCCTTGGTAGCCTGTTCCGTATTCTGTCCCTCTCTCTCCTCTTTCACAACCTTGCCAATCCAGACATTACCAAGGAAAGCCGAAGCAACAATCGACAGACCAACGAAAGGTAAAACAGCGATCAGAGCCCACATGACCGACCTAGCCGCAGCGTTCTGCACAGCGTCCTTGACCGGTCCCGACAAGCCATCGAGCGTAGCAAGATTACCAGGTCCGCTGGATCCAGGTATTTCAGACATGCTGTGACTCAGCTTGTTCGTGAAGACGGCGCCCATTATCGAAATCCCAATTGTCTCGCCAAGAGGCAACATGAAAGACAGCACCGATTGCATGGCCGGGATGCGCGTGGACCATACACCCGCCGCGTGCAGCACAACAGGCATGAATCTGAGCCCCGTCCCCGCGCCAGAAATAGCAAGGAAGACACTGACCAGCGTGCCATGCCTAATTGACACGGCGTACGTCAGTACCGCAAGACCAATGCCCTCGACAATCGATCCAATGAAGAGCGGGAAGAAAGTCTGTGCAGGCCGGATATTGCACAGGTACATCGCGGCGTACACGCCAACGCCGAGGCCGGGAGTGTAGTAGAGCAGCTGCACACCGGCTTTGGATGGCGAGTAGCCCTCGGCGAGCTGCCAGTAATACGAGATGAAGTAGAAAGCGCTGACGAGTGAGATGCCTGCTGAGAAATTGATGATCATGAGTAAGGTGGTGTCTTTTTTGCGGAAGAGGGTTGAGGGAATCATTGGGACCTGGCGCGGTAGCAGGCGAGCCGTGAAGCGTTCGGGGCCGAGAAGGTACTCGTGGGCAAAGAAGGCGATGATTAGGATACTGCCGACGACAATTGGGGCAATGATTGCTGCAGAGTTCCATGCGTATTGTGTGCCGCCCCACTGCACTGCGAGGATGATCAGGCCGATGCCAACGATGAAGAGGATTACGCCTAGCCAGTCAATACTCAAGAGACCTGCGATGTAGTTCGTCCGGCGTGAGTGGACGTTGCCTACTGTGCGGGCTGCGCTATTCCTGACCAGCTCTTTGCGCATGAGGACGACGATGAGGACGTGAGATAGAGCCGCAAGACCGACAGGGAGAACGAAGCAGTACCGCCAGCTTGCATCTGCAAGGTAGCCGCCAACAACCGGACCCACGCCGTAACTACTCAACTGTCAGTACTAATCAAAAGGTAACGAACCAACAATATGCCGCCAACTCACCTAATCCCACTGATCAGCGAAAGCGTCGAGTTATTTATCGAGATCTGCGCCAGCGTCGCCCCATTATCACTCAGAATAATCCTCGACAAGTTCATAATCCCCGCAGCACCCAGGCCCTGCAGCGCTCTACCCACAAGTAGCATGCCCCAAGACTGCGCACCCGCGCACAACGCACTACCAATCAGGATCCAGAACATCTGGAAGTGCAGTGCGGAATGGCGACCGAATGCCTCCGCAAACTGACCCGAGACAGGAACAAAGGTTGTGAATGTTAACGTGTAGGCGGCAACGATCCAGTTGAAGCTGCCTGAGAGGCGGTCTGGAAGTTGTCAGTGGATGTTGAACAGAGCGGAAAGAAGGGGACGGACTGAAGTCTGATGAGATGAGGGGAATGGCTGGCGCGACGATGGTCACGTCTACTGCAGCCAGGAAGTTGGGCAAAATCAGCCCGATAAGGAGTTTCCACTGCTGGATGTTGCGTTGGCGAGCGTCCTCTTTGGCTTGTGAGGTTTCTTTCGAGCGGTCTGTTCTGCTGTGGCTTGTTCGCGGGGAGCTGAGGTCGATGCCATTACCTCTGTCGTGTCTTTTGTATTGTTTTTGGGGTGCTGGGGTCTCTGGCACGAGATGAGAATCTTCCGTGGTGGGTACAGTTTTCTTTGCTTTCTTTGCTTGGTGCCCCCGGATGGCACCCCGTGCCTGTCTATACAGCCAGATAGCCATGTGTATTCTCTGTAGAGGTTATGAATCTGATAGGGAATTCCAGCAAATGATGCTGTCTGTAGCTGACAACCTTCACAGGGAGCTTAGTCCATCTTATATCGACACTGCATCTCCGCGAAGCTGGTCATGGAAGGTTAGTTCGAGTGGAGACACGAGCTTGAAGCTTTGATAAGCCTGAGATGCAAAAGAATCAAATTTCGTAGCTGGCTTGCCCAATCCCATCATCGCTATCCCTCGACACATGCACGGTGAGCACACTCTTTCATCCGTGCATCATCACAGGTATGGCTGTGCAGGATCATTTTGCACCATACCTAGTCGAGCCATGTTGCGAGCCAATCGCAACGTCCCACACCTTACCTGTTTAAGAGCACTCTGCGACAGACCAATCGCAACACATCTCAGCGGAGACCGAAGTGCAGTGCCTTTCGCATGATGAGTAAGTCGGTGTCACCGTCGCTACCGGTGACTGTAGATGGATCGCTCTACCCGGACGTCATCATCGTTATTGAAAGTCGACGTTTGTGTAGCTGGGAGCTGCTTCAACTCGAGGCCGCAACGCGCTGTTGCAAGGCGCCAAATGTCGACGCGGTGTTGCGATCTCGTGCCACTCTGGATATAGACATACGGCTGGGCATCGCAGTAGTGGCGAATGTAGCAGCAGTATCGTGCCGACCCCAGACTCTTGATGCAAAGTAACAGACAACATCTCGAAGGATTCGCGTGAGGTCGATGCCAAGGGTTAGGCGACGCTGTCGACAGTTGAGCGTTCGGTCGATTTGCGACCCTTGACGTCAACCTCGACCCCACGAGTTTCAGCACCACCGAGAGCTCCGGACAATAGCATCCCCGCATTCATCATGAGACCTGAAATTGCGGCGCCGCTGATAGCTGCGCTCGTTTACCGCGCCTGGTCCCACAAATCTCTGACGCCGTTTGGCATTGCCACTGCGTTCGCGACAGCAGTCGTGCACGCGATACATCCCTGGGGTGCTTTCTTCATCTTGCTAGCGGCGTTCTTTCTTGCCGGCACTGCGGTCACGAAGGTAGGATGAGAATATTGTCTGCACGCGCATATCATTGACTACCACAGGTCAAACACGACGTCAAGGCGAAACTCACGCAGTCTGCCACTGGTGCATCTGGAGGCGAGGGAGCGCGCAATCATGTCCAGGTCATTGCCAACTCGGGGGTTGCTTCGGTGCTGATCCTGCTGCACTACTGGCAGTTGCAGAAGGAAGGCAGACTCGAACGCGGAGGCACATGTTTCAAGAAGAAGAGCGACATCCTTGTCGTGGGCATCATCGCGTGAGTGCAGCTCCACAGATTTAGTACTGCGCTGACGACCTGCAGAAACTACGCAGCCGTAGCCGCCGACACATTCTCCTCCGAACTCGGAATTCTCTCCAAGACGAAGCCCTTCCTCATCACCGCACCATGGCGCACAGTTCCTCCGGGCACAAATGGAGGTGTGACCACCACGGGACTCGCAGCCGGCGCATACGGGTCGCTCGCAATGTGTTTGGTGGCGTGGCTCATGCTGCCCTTCTGCAGAGAGTGGAATTCTCAAGAGACCTTGAGGATGGCCTTCGCGCTCACGTTCGCTGGTATCGGTGGCACCATTCTGGACTCACTGCTTGGTGCCCTTCTCCAAGCCAGTGTCGTTGATGTAAAGTCCGGCAGGATCGTCGAGGGCGAGGGCGGCAGGAAAGTACTGGTCCACAGTGCAGGGCCGCTGCATCTGAAGAAGAGGACCGAGTTGAGGAGTAAGGTCATCAAAACCGAACAAGGCAGAGGTGCCATTGCGAAGAGCAGCGCTCTCGATCCGGCACAGGCAATGGAAACCATGAAAAAGGCCGGAGCAGACGAGGCTGCTGTTGCTGATGGGCAGCATGAGAGCCGCAGGGTGGAAGTGGGCAGCGACTTGCTCGACAATAATGCCGTCAATATTATTATGGCGGCTACGGTAAGCATTGGGAGTATGTTGGTCGCCTGCATCGTGTGGGACCAGCCCTTCAGCAGCGTGATTGGGTTGTAGGCCCTGCTTCCAGGTCTCGTAGATGAACGATTCAAAGATTCGAAGAATCCCAAAAATAACCCGACTTCATGTCTGAATGCATCTGCAACGCAAGTGTGAAGTCCGCAACGCTTGGCGCGAGCCACACTAGTGCAAGGCGCGTCACCCACCGGCCTGTAGGTCACCACCTCCAGCTTGACAGCCCACTTTCGACCATCACCACCGCCATAACCCGGGGACAATAGCCTACGTCTGGAACGAAAGACCGTAACGTTCCACATTCATCAAATCTTTCGTCATCAACAAACGACAACTGCATTACAGATCAGCATGGTATGGTGGCACAGCTGCACAGCTATAGCTACATGTTCGAACACGCCGCTAATAACCTCACACAGGCTCTCCGCTTCGTTCCTTCCAAGGCGCACGCCACCTCTACGCAGCTTGAGACCTCGGCGCCCTCCGCCCCCGGTGTCCATGACAACCTCCGTTTCCGCCTCGCACAAACATCGGCCGCGCCTTCGTCCACGAAGTCGGTCGAGCTCCAGTCCGCACATCCCCTCGAGGCCCGCCTCGTGCAGTGGCGCGAGACGCAGGACCGCATGAAGATGGAGATGCTAAGGCGACAGTTCGGCATCGCAGAGCCGGTGAGGAGGGGCATGGAGCTCAAGATTGCGTCGGCGGGCGAGTGGCGGCCGGCTGCGCTCGGTGGCTCGAGCGGAGTGCACAAGGATATTCTCGAGGGCCGAGACTGCGAGATTGGCTGGGAAGATGTCTTCAAAGGTGCGTTTGGGTTCGAACAGGATGCGGCCGCGGTGTCGTTCTGGTTGTATTTGGCTAACGTGATGATCATAGGCTCCGAGCTTCGCCAGGTGCCCGACTTCCACACAGAGATCGAGCACAAGATGAAGATGAACTGGTAGAGAGAAGTGGTTTGCCCGTGAGGCAGGCATGCATGGCATTGGAAGGACCGTGTCAAGCAGCAGAGCCTGCACAAGATCTGACGATGACTTCTGAGTCGATCATCTCATGCGTTTGCGGATGCGCACGGCGTTGGCCTAGATCACGGCTCGATTGAACGAACGATTGCAATGACAAACATTTCACAAGACAGCACTTTCTCCTCTGCTAGCTCTACAGATGCAGACAAATACGTGTCGTCCCTTTCGCACTAATGACAGGGATTCAGTGCTTTGCGTGAGGTTGTTGGGCATAGCTGTGAGACTGCTGCACCCACGTGGACAATATATAAAGCGTGAAGCTGTCACATGCGATTCGAGCCACGACTCCAGGATAAGACAACCAGGCCCATGTCTCAGCAGGCATTGCCTCGAGATGTTCCGTTGCTATGGGCGTAAAGGACGTCAAGGACGTCAATACACGGCGACCCAGAAAGGCAATCAGTGAATGCTAACGGTGCACGTGCAGCCGTGCTCTACAATGGCCGAATTAGGGGCGTATGCAGGGGCAACTATTGAGTGCGCCAGGATGAGGCCATTGCATGCGCAAGGCCGCCGGGCAAATTCGGGCCCGCGGCCAGGCGGCGATATTTGCATTCATGAAGCCAGCGACCATGTCGTTCTGATGTGGCAGTATTCTGTCAGATCTGGCCGGCGGCGTGATAGGTACTCGTAGTCTTGCAATCCTTCGGCTACGGGCGTTTCGGCTACGGGCCTTGCTTTGGGGTAGGCATAGTGGAGCCCAGCGGATCGCTCTTGCCGTATTCTGGATTGTGGAGGGACCGGCGTCTGCCCGCGAGCACAGACAGGCGACTGCACCGCGACTCCATCTGTCGCTCAGCTTCACACCTACAATCCCGCCGCACTTCCTCCCCACGCTCGCTGCAGCCGTGGCGCACTTCTCGCACGTCGCTTACCTCGCTGTCCACCGCTTCGCCACCTCTCGCTCGCTTATCGTGGTCTTGCCATCCTTGTCTCCGATTACGTTGCGCAGACAGGGTCGTTTCGGCCGACCATGACGACTCCTTCACTGGACCAGCCGTCGACGACTGCGCAGAACATCCCCCAGGCGACTGCACAGACATCGCAAACCGCCCCTGGCCACGACACACTATCCTCGAGCGCCGTAGAGATGAAGACGCTTCAACCAGCAGCCGGCGCACCTGCGCCCACGACTTCCACCGCGACGGATTCCGGAGCACCCCAGATCGCCCCAGTAGAGTTTACAAGCATCGGAGAAATTAGCCCGTCACAGAACACACAGCCAGCGGCGTCATGGCCGGCAACGCTCCCAGCCCGCAACGAGCTGAATCGGACGGAGACTGAAGCGGCCCTCGGGCCCTCTACAGATGGACCAGCGGCGAATCCGGACAACAGCAATGGCCCGACGGTAGTCATAATGCTGCTGCTCACGACGGGCGCTCGGCATCCGTACAAGATCGACGAGAAGTACCTGAAGAAGCGCAACGTCACGGTGGAGGAGATGGATCCGTACAACATCAGCATATACACATTGAAGGAGTTGATATGGCGAGACTGGCGAGAAGGTACGTGGAGAAATCATGCCTCGGACTTGCGCATATGCTTGGAAAGCACGGAAAGCACGGAAAGCACGGAAAGTCGAGCAACGGCGTCTTCAGCTTCCTGCCCGCACTCGCTGTCGACTGGGCAATGGCACAGATCAGATGATGTTTCCTGACCGCATCGCATTGGCACGCGCACCTGCACACAGCCACGCCCGCCTCACCGGCTTCTCGAACAAGTTTGCTAACCCGATTCGGCAGAATGGGAACCAAGACCGACCTCGCCAAGTTCGATACGGCTGATCCACTTTGGGCGCATGTTGGATGACAAGTCGCCGTTGACAGGTAGATGCGCGCCTATGGAAAACGGCGAACCGTCGGCTAACATGCTGCAGACTGCCGTTTCCAGACGGAAGCGCCAAACGTTGTGCACATGACGATCAAGCCGCAGGAAGTGGTGGACGAGGAGGAGAACGCCAAGACTGGGAAAAGCGCAAAGACAAGAGACGATGGCGAGGAGACGACTGCTGGTTGTCGCTGCGTCATCTTATAGGCGGTGGTACGTCGTCGATTCGGGGTCAAGGGGGAGGTTTTCAACGGCGCTCTCGGGGCGTTTCTTCTTATGGAGCATTTCAAGAGTGCATTTGACATTGTTCCCTTTCTGTACAAGTATTGCTGGGTTTCCAACGACATATTTCGCAGCACAAAGGGCTGGCGGCAATTATAGACTATTACTCTTCAGCGCTGTGCCATGATCAATTGCAAGTGAGGTGGGTTGAAGGAATACAAGGTATCCACTAGGATCGGTTGTGCGCAGAGACGAGTTGTGCTGCAGAGACAAGTTGTGCTGCAGAGACAAATTGACAAGCAGAGACAAGTTGTGCTGCAGAGACGAGTTGTGCTGCAGAGACGAGTTGTGCTGCAGAGACAAGTTGAGAAGCAGAGACAAGTTGAGAAGCAGAGACAAATTGACAAGCAGAGACAAGTTGTGCTGCAGAGACGAGTTGTGCTGCAGAGAC